GAGCCATAGCTAGGGTTGACCTAGCTAGGCAAGAGAGAAATGAGCAAAGGAGAGTTTGCACTAGCAACAATGGTGGTACAAATAGCTAACCCTAGAAGGGTTGTACTCGCTATAGAGCACCCCACTGCAGGCTAGAGCATAATATTCTGACACACCCCCATAGCCAAAGTGGGGTGTAATCAGCAGAGCAAGCAAAGCAGTACAAGCTCAGGGTGGATCACGATGTCACCACACATTCTGAGCACAAGTTCAAGAAGCAATAGTTTCAAGTTCACAATTATGAGCAAAGCTAGAGGCAGTCACAGAGGGCAAGTGAGGAGGAGGAGGGCTGGCGAGAGGAGAGTAGATTAGGAGGCGACGACTGAAGCTGCAGACACACGGGCAACAGACGGCTCTGGTGCGACACAGTGGCTACCGGGAATGAGTGCCCCGGAGTACAGGAGTAACAGGCTCCGCGGCTAATACGCGCGGCAGGAGCAACGGACCCACAGGCGACGGCGCAACCGGCTCTCTGAGCTACCGGGAATGAGTGCCCCGGAGTACAGGCGCTGCGTACGACACGACGGCAACCTCCGCTCAATCTCCCCCAACAGTCCCACACCCCTCGACACACACCCCCTGCTTCAAACCCTAGCTCCACTCCCACGGTACCCCCCTTAAACCCCAAACCCTAGGCTCCCACACACCACCCCCCTCAGCGGCAGCTGTAGCAGAGGGAGACGAGGGAGGAGGAGGAGCAGGGGGAGTAACTCACAACCGACACCCCCATAGCCGCCACCCCCACACTCCTCACCCCCAAACCCTAAAACGGGCGGAACGGGGGAAGGAGCGCGGGGGACGGCGAGGGGGACGGTGCGCGACCCCCAGGACGCCACCACGGGGTAGCAAGGGGCCGCGCGCGGCTCCTTAGGGCGCCGCGAAGGGGCAGCGGGGGGTCGCGCGCGGCTCCCCAGGGCGGCGCGACGGGAAATCGGGGCCGCGGGCGATGGGAACGGGGGGCCGCGGGCGACGGGAACGGGGGGCCGCGGGCGACGGGAACGGGGGGCCGCGGGCGACGGGAACGGGGGGCCGCGGGCGACGGGAACGGGGGGCCGCGGGCGACGGGAACGGGGGGGCCGCGGGCGACGGGAACGGGGGGCCGCGGGCGACGGGAAATCGGGGGCGCGCGGGGGTCCCCCACGGTAGGAAACCGCCGCGCGCCTCGGGGCGCACGGCGGACAGGAAACCGCCGCGCGTCCGGGGCGCACGGCGGGCAGAAAACCGCCGCACGCCCCGAGCGCGCGGCGGGATGAAAAATCCGTCGCACGCCACGGGGCGTGCGACACAAACAGTAGTAGGAGCAGCGGAAGACTGAGGTGGTGGGGCCCACCCACAGGATCGACCCAACTGGATCGTCCTGCTCTGATAGCATGTCGTGATAGCTAGCAGGATGAGGAGCCATAGCTAGGGTTGACCTAGCTAGGCAAGAGAGAAATGAGCAAAGGAGAGTTTGCACTAGCAACAATGGTGGTACAAATAGCTAACCCTAGAAGGGTTGTACTCGCTATAGAGCACCCCACTGCAGGCTAGAGCATAATATTCTGACATTGAGCGCGGGCGTCTTCGGTGTCTTCCACCGGTTTAGGATAGGAACCGTCGAAGTAGTGGTAGATCTGCGCTGTCTGTAGGAGGAGCTCCAGCTCAAAACTCCATGTATAAAAATCCTTGCCGTCAAACGCGGCAGTAGTCTTGATCTTTGACACACTGAGAAAGCGTGCTTGCGCAGAGTTGATGGTTTCGTCGCTTGGACGAGGGGCAGTTGTTGCAGATTTGTCTGAGTCGAGGGAGAAGCCGTGCGCGGCGGTATCGCGGCTTTTCGCAGCCGGTTGTCCAGGTTGAACTGGTTGGGAAGTGGTTCCCGCATCGCCTTTGCGCAGATCTTGGAGTTCTTTCTCCATTGTTGACAGTCGAGCGAATAACTGCTCGAGCGCGGCAGTGCCAATCGTAGTTGTCGCCTCATTTGTCGCAGCCGGGTTGGTTTGTCCTTCGGCCGTTAGATTTGTTTGACCTCCGGATCCTCCGGCCATCTTGGTCTTGGAACGTGTGCCGCTCGCCAGTTTTGGTTTGGCGAATTTTACGGAGTTGACGTTGCGAAGAATCCCTGAGCAGCTCTCATACCATGTTACAATCTGAAGTGAGATTTGTCCGAAAGGATCGTTCAGGGTTGATCGCAGGTAGTGTCGCAGCGGAAGTAGTGAACTCAGGTCAGAGTGAATGTAAATGACTGAGATTGATAATAGCATGCATACATTGGGTTTATATAGAAATACAAAGGAATGCGAAACGACCTAGACTAGCCATGTACTCTAAGGGGTACATTCCCTTATTGCAGCGAAATTTAAACCGTGCGGCGCGGGAATCAGTTTCAAACCTGTTCCCGCTCTTTTCACTTCAAATGCTTCTGCCTGCATCGGTCTTAGTCAGACGGTTGCTGTGTCGCTTCGACTCTTCTGACTCCTCGACTTCGTACTCGGTAGAGTCGGCTCCTGCAGCATACAGGAATGCCTTCTCATAAAGCTTCATATCGTAACACAATGTGTGCCTTATATTAGAACAATCGATTTAAAACTATTATAACATCAACTGTCAGTTCTGTGTAAAATGATTCCACGACACAACAATAGCGAGTGTTCTTGAAATCCCTAGGGCGATCCGCCCCCGCAAACTTCTGTAAAAAAGAGCGGGAAAGTCTGACACCATCAATACTTTACTGTCTACTATCCGCATTCGGAGAGCAGTTCAGTTGCCTGAACGGACGTGTTCAGTTGCGACACGGTTCGGCACTAGAGACTGGAGCATAATGGACGCATCTGCTAATCGTTATCTTCAAGCCTAGCGGCGTTCGCGGAATCGGCGACCGTCGTCAAGCCGTGTCGATTCGTTCGATTTGTTAGCGTCGAGGCGGATGGACTCTCTTGACGTTTGAGTCGACTTAATATTCACCCTGCTTTGGTGTCGATTCCTGAGCGTAGAGGCAGGCTCATTAGATTCGATTCGATTCGATAAATTATTCTGCAAGGATGGACGACGATCCGCTGCTGGTTCGGCTGCGCAGATTCGTCGAATCTTCTCACGCCCTAATCCGTGAAACCTCCTCCGTTTACTCGTCAAGAGGTTCAGAATTCGCTGCAGAAGCGCCTAGGGATTGCCGCGAGGACGCTATTAGTAACGGGGATGCTACTACTAATAGCGAGCAGCGCGAGGCAGAGAAGGCTGCTCTTGCGGGTCTGGTGGCCGTGGTGGAAGCGGTGGTGGCGGAAGCGGAGGGCGCGGGGCGGATGTTTGCGGGGAAGGGGGAAGCGGGGAGGGGGGACGCGGGGAAGGGGGACGCAGGGAGGGGGGAGGCGGAGCGGGAGGAGCCGGTTAGACGCAGGGGTGGCAGGGGAGGGGAAAAAGTCGGACGGGGGAGCTCGAGGCACCGGGAAGATTCGAGCGTTGTCGACATGACGGGTGCAGGAGGCGCAGGAGGGTCCGCGGGGGACAGGGGGAAGAACGAGGCGGGGAAAAAACTGATTTCCGGTATTCCTGATGACGTCATCGCTCTCTCACTAGAGGTGCACAAGGGGCGGCTGTTCAGGGCAATAGGGAGAGCGAGTGTATTGAGGGGGTCGAAGGTAGGCCTGGGGAAGGGCGCATCTGATTAGATATTAAAGTCAGTTCTGAGATTTATCAACAGGAGGTCGACCCGGGGAAGGGAGGGTGTGACTGGTCAATATCCAGGATTGTGTGCCAAGCCAAGTAACGACGTCATGCTCCTTCATGCTTCATTAAAGGGAGGTGCTTCATGCACGGGAGGTGGGTTCGGTCTTGCCTCAGTGCGTTCACTACTCCTCTCTGCCCCCCATTGGCCTCAGGCCATCAGCCGGAGCATCTCGGCCGTCCATGTGTTGCTGGCGCCTCATCAGAGCCGTCGGTGGGCGGCAAGCCTGCATCAGCTGCCGACTAGCATTGATGCCATCATGAGAATCAGCAGGTAGGATGTACTTGTGTGTTGCCGCACGGTACCGTACCATACCATATTGTACCATGCCATGCCAGCCATTCCATGCCAGCCATTTCATGCCATGTCATTCACTGCCCAGCCGTGCCATACCGTACAGTGCCGTACCTGACCGTAGCATAACGTACCATACCTTGACAGTGACTGACTCATGTATGACGTCACGCAAAGGGTTACATCTAATAGTGTGACACCATACCACACCACCCTACCATACCGTATTATACCACACCACCACCATACCACGCATTTTATTTTGCCGTGCCATGATTGGGAGGAGGTGCCATGATTGGGAGGAGGTGCCATGATTGGGAGGAGGTGCCATGATTGGGAGGAGGTGCCATGATTGGGAGGAGGTGCCATGATTGGGAGGAGGTGCCATGATTGGGAGGAGGTGCCATGATCGGGAGGAGGTGCCATGATCGGGAGGAGGTGCCATGATCGGGAGGAGGTGCCATGATCGGGAGGAGGTGCCATGATCGGGAGGAGGTGCCATGATCGGGAGGAGGTGCCATGATCGGGAGGAGGTGCCATGATCGGGAGGAGGTGCCATGATCGGGAGGAGGTGCCATGATCGGGAGGAGGTGCCATGATCGGGAGGAGGTGCCATGATCGGGAGGAGGTGCCATGATCGGGAGGAGGTGCCATGATCGGGAGGAGGTGCCATGATCGGGAGGAGGTGCCATGATCGGGAGGAGGTGCCATGATCGGGAGGAGGTGCCATGATCGGGAGGAGGTGCCATGATCGGGAGGAGGTGCCATGATTGGGAGGAGGTGCCATGATTGGGAGGAGGTGCCATGATTGGGAGGAGGTGCCATGATTGGGAGGAGGTGCCATGCTTGGGAGGAGGTGCCATGCTTGGGAGGAGGTGCCATGCTTCATGCGTTTCATGGATTTCATGAAAGCCACGCCACATCTCTCGCGCTCTCCCATTCCCCCCCTTCCCACACTACTGGATCCATGCGTCTCCTCGCCTCTCCCTCCTTCACCTCTCCTTTTTCATCCTTCGTCCGTTCCATGCCCCTCCACCCACCACGGTCCCACTCCTCTAATTCCTTCATGTCTCCTCTCCGTTCCCCTGCCCTTCTCCATGCCCGCTGCTCCCCCCAGTGCCATGCGTCCACTGCTATCCTTGCTGCTGCACCTGCTGAACATCGCGCCTTCCTCACTCGCCACTGCCTTCTGCCAAGCCCAAGTGCGTGCGCACTCTAACGGTTACCTCAGAAAAGCTGTCCATCGTCACAGCCAGCCCAGCCCAGCACTATAACAAGTATGGCTTGCTGGTTCTTGCTGCTGCACCTGCGGTCCCTCGTGCCTCCCTCACTCGCCACCTCCTTCTGCCAAGCCCAGGTGCGCATCCTCGCAACCAGCTCAGCCCATCTCTATAGCGAGAACAGCTTGCCTCGTTCTAGCTGCACGTGCAGCTCTGTACTCGCTAAGGAGCACACATGATTAGGTCAAAGTTGCTTTCTCAACGAGGGTGGTCAGGTCAGACCGGTAATCTGCAGCCTTATTCACTTGGCTTTGAATTTCTCCTATTTGCAGGAATTCGTTTCTCTTCTCCCTCTTTAATGAGCATCTTCCCATCTTCCCATCTTCCCACTCCGGATGTCTCACCCACCTGTGCTGTGCGTGCCCCAGGCGTCTTCCCTACTGCCCATCCTCACATCCCTCCCCTCTGCTCTGCAGGCCTCTATCAACCCTTCTTCCTCCACCTCCACCAACAAACTCGTGTTGCTCATTCCATTACCGTTCCCTCCTCATCTTCCCTTTCTCTTGTCTCTCCCAGGCGTCAGCCCTACTGCCCATCCTCACGTCCCTCCTCTCCGCAGGTCTTCACCAACACTTTTTCATTCACCTCCACCAGCAAGCGCGTCTGCTGCACCCCTCCGCCTCCTCTTCCCCATCGTCAGCTCCCCCTTCTCGCCCCGCCTCTGCTGCCTCCTCCCCCGCTGCTGCCTCCCCCTACAAGCCCCCCCACCTGCGCTCCCGCAATGCACGCGCCCCCCCGCCTGCTCTCTCTTTCTCCTTGTCCTCAATGCCTCCCGTTCTGCCACCAGCATCAGCAGCAGCACAACCAGCAGCTGTTGCAGCAGGAGCAGATGGAGGGGTGGGTGCACATGAGTTGCCATCAGCGCTTGCAGCAGGGTTGAAACTCGCAGCTTCTGCTCATGGCCCTCGTTCCTCACACCTGCATGGGTTTTTTCCGGGCAGCCGGGCGACTGAGCAAAGCAGCTGGGGTTATTTCCCCTCGGAAATCAACAATGCAAGGGGGTCTGGGTCAGAGCAGAGTGAGGAGGAGGACGGGTGGGGTGGAGAGAGGGGAGGGGAAGGGGGAAGAGGCAGATGGGGGCGGGGAGGTGATGGGAGGAGGGGAGGCGGTGGTGTGGAAGCAAGGAAACTGAGAATAGCTGCACTCACGTGCATCAAGGTGGGTTGCTGCTTGCTTTCTGCGCTCCTGGCTCTGGCTTTCTGAGAGCGGGATCTATCCATTTCGTACAACACAGGGTGCTGAGAGCGTTTGCCAACTGTTTCCAAAGGCACAGATGTCGTCATATCTGGTCCCGTGCCGTGCCTCCCAACGTCGATTGCTAGACCAACGTCGTTGGATAAAGATGGGCGTGTGTCTCACGTTGGAGGTTTCCAGCGTGCAGGCTCTGCTTGTGTTGTTCATGTTGACCTTCTCAGCTTTGCATGTCCTTTTCTTTTTCAACCTTTGGCATCAATCCTTTCCTTGCCTATCGGAAAATTTTTCCTTGCCTATCAAAAAGATTGTTGCTTCTATCCTTCCCTGCCCTTCCCTTCCATTCCCTCTCCTCCCCCCTCCTTCCCATGTCCTCCCTCCACATTCCTCTCCTTCCTCTCTCCTTCTCCTCTCCTCCCCTTGCACTGCATCCGTCTCGCCCCTCTCCTCCGCTTCCATCTCCCCTCCCTCATCTGCTATCCTTTCCTCTCTCCCTTGCTACCCTCTTCCCTCCCATCTCACCCGAGCACCTTATTCCCGTGCTCCCAGAGCATGGCGGGCATGTGTCTCACTGAGGTCGCTGCATGAGTACTGGGGTCGGGGCTCTTCGCTCACTTCTCTCCTGCCCTTTCCTCTCCTTTCCTCACCTTTCCTCTCCTTTCCTCACCTTTCCTCTCCTTTCCTCTCCTTTCCCATCTCTTCCTGTGAACCATGTTTCCCCAGAGCATGGCGGGCATGTGTCCCAGGGCATTGCACGCGCACTGGGCTGTGCTTTTCCCTCATGCTTCCGCGGCCGCCGCCAGGTGTGGTCTGCAAACTGTCCTTGGTTCCGTGTTTCAGCCCCACTCTTTCACAAGTCGCTTCCTGACTCCCTTTCAGCGAGCTTGTTCATACCCAGACACTACATGTCTTGTTCTGCAAATCACAAAGAGTCTTCCCACATACCCCACATGCCCCACATGCCTCACATGCCCCACAAGCCTCACATGCCCCACA